CAGTTGTACCAATCTTTTAATAATGGCATTCTTTACCTTTCTGTTATAATAATCATTATTCAAAACACAAGCAAGATTCGTACTCCGACTTTTAGCGCCCATGAAAAACACACGGTTTAATAAAAAGAATATTTCAATCAATTCTTAAGTAACTGGATATAAAGAGCAATTCAAGTTTATTTGGATTTGTAGCAAATGAATGCTATTTTATTTTATTAGATTGTAAAAAAGTATTTTTTTTTTATCTGTAATTTTTGTTTGTTTTTGCTCTACATATAGAGTATCTTTTGATGATCCAAGCTCTTTTGAAAGCTTTCGAGTGCTGGTGTTTGGGTTCTCCTCTACCTTGCGTTTTAAAGCATCGTAATCAACAACTGATTGTCGTCCACTTCTGGGCTTTATTATGAGGGACAAGTCACCATCTTTAAAACGCTTAAACCAATTTTGGGAAGTACGGTCAGAGATTGTTTCATTTCCTTCCACTTCCCGAATTATGCGAGCAGCTTCAGTCGCTTTGAGGCCCAGTTTAAAACAATTCTACATGCCAAACAAAAGGCAGACGTTAATTTTTGGAACAAATTTTCCTTACCCACTCCACGAGATTATTAAGGCCACTGCGTTTATTAATATCACACTTTTCAACTTTTAAAATGATTTTCCCCTTCCCACTTTTATGAAATATTGAAAACATTTCCGCCCCAATTATTACGATAATCATTGTATTAAGCATAAAATTGCTAGAATTCATTATATTCGCTATTGTAACATTTGAAATAAAAGGTAAAGGTAAATAATAATAATAATAATAATAATAATAATAATAATAAGAAGAAGAAGAAGAAGAAGAAGAAGAAGAAGATTGGTGAAATGACACTTGTGCCATCTCTCAACATGTAAGGTATCGTAAATTTTTATACCATATTAAATTACATTTTTCCTTTTCTTTGATGTCATTTTAAGCCTCTTTGTCTTTATTTAATTCTTTCATTTTATTTTTCTCTCCCGTCTGTTTCATTTTCTTTTTTTGGAATAACCCTTAATATTAAAGTCTGAATTTCCACCTGGTAGTGATCAGTGCGACTTATACTAAATTAAAACTTAATATAGTCAGCGCCATATCTATACACATATGCTACCCACTGAATACAATACTCAATTATGAACTCTTTAACCGTAGATATATGCATATAATCCTCATTCGTACTATCTCTGGTTTTCTTCGATTGTCGTCCTAAAGCTAGTAACTTGAAAATAATTACCCCTTGGCGGTCAAGATTGAAACGCAAAATTGTATGAATTCCAATGATTACAAATAAATTTTCATATCGGATCGGTCGTCACCCGGGTCAACAAGGGCCGCCTACTTCAGAGAGGAACCAGTCTGGAGCCGAAAAATCTGTCAGTGAAACAAACCCTTCCAAAATCGAAGAGACACTAGGTCACCAAACCCGGACTATTCCCAACGTTGGACTAAGTGACTCAATACCAAATCAACTAATAAAAAGAACGAAATGGTCTCGCGAAAAGTATCAACAAGTCATGACATAATTCTTCACTACACTCAAAAATCTAGCAAAGAACACCACGAATCAGACATACCAAATAAAGAGAACTATGATAGGAAGTGATAGAGTACCTCACCTCAACCCAAACATGCTTGCCAATGTCCGCAGGGACACTGTGCAAAACAAAAGACTCTCAAATGAAGAAATAGATAAGATAAAACTAGATATAAAGCTGAATGCAATATCCCATCACTCAAACAGTAAAGAGATGAAAGTAATAATAAGTAATATGACAGAGGATGAGGTAAATAAATGAGATACGAAATAATAACCTCCCAGGAAATAAAATCGAAGAATCTACCTGTGTCATGACCTGCAGTTATCCAGACGATGTCACTGAAGATGACTCCAACTACATTAAGTTAGAATTCCCTGAAAACCACAGACGTGAAATCACCGAAGCGAAAAACCACGTCATCCAAGTATTCAGCAGAATAACTCTCAAACAATTGTCAGACAGAGACCAGCTCCTCAAAATTCATATGACGGAATCCAATAAGCACATTGTGCAAATATACAACGCTGCTCTGGAAACACTGTTAACGGATAAACCACTGGGAAATATCACAAAAGTTAACAATGTCATATACGCAACAGCTTTAGCAGTTACTGGGAAGCTTGGGGTAAAAACATTGAAAAAAATTAACAGACATAGAGAGTCATCTTGGAAGGCAAAACTGATGCGAGAAATAAAGGAAATCAGATGTGAGATTTCTATATTAGATGAGCTCACTAGAAACCCAAATATCTTAACATGCAAATGCAAAAAGATCAAGCGAAAATATAAAATTAAATCCCTAATTGAAATTCCATCAATCAAAGAAAAGAGAAAGAGAAACTTCAGTTAAAAGCACAGAGAACAAGACGATACGAAAAACGTTGTAGGCTCTATCGCAAAAATAAAACGGACCTTAAACGGACCTTAAGAAAATTTACAGGGAAATTGGAAAAGCATATATACATGTCGAAAATCCACCATCTATTGACAATGTGCAGACATTTTGGGGGAATATTTGGAGCAGCCCAAAGGAATATAACCCAAATGCAGAATGGATCCAACGTGAACAAAATGATCCTGGGAAATTGCAGGAGACAATGTAGAAATCTTAGCGCAGCGTGGATAGATTATCATAAAGCCTTTGATAGTGTGCCGCACTCTTGGATCCTTATGACTTTGGAAACGTACAAAGTCTCCCCTAAATAAATAGTCAATTTTCTTAAGCACAGCATGGGTATGTGGAACATCACACTATACCTAAATCACGCCATATGTGTTTGTTTTTTTTTTAATTGGTCACTGAAAAGTGTCATGATGCAATTTCGAACCCTAGGTCTCTGGGCGGTACCCGGAAAGAAATACGTACACACAAGAAATCAAAGAAATAATAATAATAATAATAATAATAATAATAATAATAATAATCCATTGTAGTCAGAAATAACCTTCAAATGTGTCCATGAAATAAACTTTCGGGGGAAACGTTTATAAGAAACGAAAATACATTCGATACATGCTCATATTTTCTTGTCGCTATAAAGAATCTGTATAAAGCATCGGCAGTGATTAATAGATTTGATTGTAGAACAGTTTGGTTGCCATTTTTTAGCTTCTTAAGTGTCAAAAGATGTTTAGAGGGAAGTTATGACTAGAAAATGTCATAATTTTACTTTCGATGTTGTCTTTTGCTAATTTTGTCGGTTGTTATCTGATCTGCTTTGACACGGAGGCAGGAAACAAACAAAAAACTGCTAATAAGGCACACACACGCTTCAAGGATTCAAGTATCAACTTCCTGTTCAGAAAACAAAATATTTATTGGAATTTGGATTATAAATGAACCGTTTGAAGCTTCCATTTATTTTGTTTTGTGTGAAACGTGAACCATTTCATTAGGACGAAAAAGGAAAGAGATTGTCTGGATGTGAGATATGTGTATTTATAATCAGCAGGGAAGCAGATTCAGTTCTTTATCAACATCGAGATAACGTTTACAATCATTTATTTCGTGTTAATGCAGTGTTGTTTTTAGAAAACGTAAAATTTCCTCTCCCTCCCTGCGAGTTAAAAAGAAACAATTTTCATTTCCTTATTGTCATTTCTTTGCTTAAAATATCAGCTTGTTCAACGTGAATTGAATACTTGATACAAAACAAAATGATTTCTTTATTCCAGGCAGATTGCAGTTGAAGCTGAGTCAATTTACAAAGGGAAGCATCGGGTCAAGAGATTAAAGAAAGAAAACGATATTTTTCCCAGATAGATCCTTGGACAAAATTCAGCGACAGATACTGAACCGTAGATACGAACCACCTAACCATTGAAATCTTTCATAATTTATAACAAATCAGTATCTTTTACATATCGAACAGAACAGGCCATAAACTTATAGCGGACATTTTTTTAATGAAAAGTAATCTTTATTATATGCCTTTCTTTTCGGACGAGTATCCTGATCTTGGTTGTTATAAATTTCATCAACCCGCTTTCCAAGCATGAAAAACGGAATGAAAAGAATTTAACGACGTTTACTGAACACAGGTTTTGTATGAAAATTCCAAGATTATTACCAACTCCGATAAATACCTGAAGATGGGTGGGGGAAGAAGGGTCGAAATTTTGGAAGTATTTACAACCATTCCGAATAGAGAAGCAAATAGCTGATCAATTAATCAAAATATTGTGTTAGCAAAGACTAAGAGGAAATTGTCAGTGGAAACAATGAGTTCCATAATGATCGTATCTTCCCCTTCGTAGATATCAAGTTAATAACCCTGTAATTGGCAATTTATATCAATAAATTAAAATTAAATCATCGAAAAATCTACATTCAAAATATTTCTTTTAGGTTATTACAGATTTATTCCATTTTGATGGGAATTGGAAAAGTCCCTTCCTTAAGAATTCTTCATTCATTGATTCATTGAATTTTTATTACGATTGGAGAAATGTTTGTTTGCAAGTTTAAGATGCGTGAAAAATTTCAAAAAACCTGAAAGCAAAAATGGCAATTTCATTTTGAACAGCTAAATTGATGTCGATTTGAAAAACTACTTACACCAGAAAATCGAATATCATGGATGACAATGTAATACTTTCTGGTACCAGGTGAATGCTTTGCTTGAAGATTCAGATGCCGTTAAAAGCAAAAGAAAGTGAAAAAATAAATAAAAGGAAAAGATCAAAGGTCAAAGTGACTTACATGAATGAAAGCTGTTAACCATTTCTTGTCAACCAATTTTGAGTTGTTGCAGGACAGTTCCAGACCATCAAAATCATACTCTCTCAAAAAGGTAATAGCTTGCTTGTAAAATCTAAGAAAAGTAATATAAAGTCAATAACATTTCTTATGTATTTATTCAAAAGATTAGGCAAAGAATTGACAAGTACGTTCTCATTTACTTACATTATTTACGTTATTCGGATTGTTATCCTCATCTTCATTGCCATATTCACAACATTTCGGCCGTTGTACGCTCCGGCCTACTTCAGGTGATTGGAATTTCGAACCGAACCCTTTATGTTGTACACCGGGGTAGATTGTTCGAGTTCCAAATGCCATGCCTCTTCCGGATATCTCCGTATCAGTTATCTCCCTTTTAACTCCGTGAGTTTTTGTTCACCTCAAATACAAGATACGAAAGATCTCTGTTCCATATAACATCAGGACGACCTTCAAAAGTGATTGAAGACTTCGCAGGCACCTCTTCTGTGTAAGACCTCCCATAGAGGAGAACATGATTAAGGACTGTGTGTACGCCATCCCATGCAGCTGTGGTAATAAATACAAAGGAGAAAGAGGCCACTCTCTTAAGATAAGAATGCAGGAATACCGTAAAGTCATAACACGTGTCATGGCTCTTCCGGATATCTCAGTTATTTCTCTTTAACTCAACTCTCCAAGTTTTAGGTTCACCACTGCTGTAACCTGGTATTGAACTCACAACTCTTCGGGTCTAGTTACTGGATCTAACCAACGACTTTATCCACTGGGCCATGACATCAGTTTATTAATTTTCGGGACTTATAAACCTAATGTCAGACGTTCTCATTTGGAAATACCTATTCAGGTTTTATGTTAATTGCTAAATATTAAAATTTATAAAATTGTATAATTATTACGCTAATAAATTTGAATGATTCATTATCGATGCAATGTTGAAAATTACTAACCTAAAACACTATTGGCCCAACAAATATTTTTTTTTAAATCCAACAAAGATAAAAAGGATGCGAAGTTGGTGTATTAATTTTGGACTTTAAAACGGGAATCTTACAAATCCTCTTGGAAAAGGCATAAATCCATTTCTTCTCATAAGGGAACGGGCGTCTCTTTAATAAATTTCATTTCGATTTATTTTATTGGATGAAGTACAATAATGCCTTGAGAAACGAGCGTACTGACATACGAGTTTTTTGAGATACGATCCGAAGTTCGGCCTATTTTTTACCTTGAGATAAGAGCGAATTTCAGTTAAGCATCCGCGAGTTGGCGCAGCGGGTACCAACCTTGGAGAGTATTTCCACTCACACGTGTTCACCTCCTTCTGGGAGGGTATGTGTTGGGTTGTGTCTTTTTTTTTTTTTTTTTTGCCGTTATTTTCAAATTCCTTTAGTGACACCATGAGCCCGAAGAAAGGAAGTGCAAAAAGCAGTAGTGAAAAGCCGAAACGTATGATTTCGCTTGAGGTAATGCGGAAAATTATTTAAAAAAAAACATCTGGAAGACGTATGAGTAATTGCTGAGACAGTATAAATAAACAATTATAATTTTTTTTAATTACTTACAGTAATGAATAAAATGTAAATGTTTTAAAAATTTAAAAATTAAGTGATAAAGTTAATGTTCGGTATTGCAGATTAAGCTCACCGTTGCTAGGTTAGGTTAACAGTTGCTAGGCCGATGACTTCATGGTTTAGTACTGTTTATTTCTTTACCATTTGTTTTTTTGTTTTGGGGGTTTTTTGGGGTTTCTTTATTTTATTGTTTGTAAACTACATTTCTTGATTATTTACATGTTTTTGCTTGTAAGAAAATCCCAAATAGAAAAATAACTTTGAGTTTTAGGAAAATAAGGGTGATATTTAGGGTTAGGGTTTCCATTAATTTCAATGTGGAAAATTGATTTGAGATTCAAATCTTGATGAAAAGCAATTAAATTTAAGATAAAAGAAATATGAATAACAATTAACGGTCGAGTCTCAAATACGCAACCATTTTATCCGATTAAAGTTTTCGTATTTTGTAAATGACAATATAAAAATGCTGAAGAAATTTTAGACGATGTGGTGAGAATTTTACCGAATTAACCACTCTTTTATAAAACAGTCCTGGGGATGACAATAAACTACATCCGGCAGCAAGACCTCTGTTGGGAAGATTGGAGGTTTTGAGGAGCTTTGAGTAAAATTACCAACAATACCTACTTAAAGCTAAATGTCCAACAATATATTTCACATGTCGTTGAAGGTCTGCGTTTAAAATATATTTAGTTGAAGTCATAAAATTGCGTACAAAAGATTTAGAATTCGGCATTAAATAATCGATAGAGGTTGATATGCCGCTAAACAAAATCAACCAAACAACCAAATCTTTTATAAAAATGAACGAAAAAAAATTCCCCAAACATGTGATACATACGTGGATAGCGTGTCTTTTGGTCCAGTTAGTAACTCGAACAAACCATCTTGGACGGCGAGAAGAATCTTGAGTTTCGGGTTGCGTTCCTTGAGAGCCGCTAGCTGACGGTAAGGTTTCACATCTTCGCCACTGTACATAGACAAGACGTAATTGTCCACCTTGGCATAGGCGAAGATGATGTGCGTGAAGAGGAATGGGTCGATGTCACGAGCCTCGAGCAACGATCGCTGATGCACATAATAACCCACAACCCTAAACTGTTCATCTGTGGGGAGAGAGACATAAACAAACAACATTTTATGCCAGATTTTGTCAAGGAACATTAAGAGTGTGCACAAACCCGAAATAGAATCCAACTAGGCAGATTCTTGGGTAGGCTTATAAAAATGTACAATACGTTTCAAAAGTTAATGTCTAAGATGTCATTAGAAAAAATAAAACTAATAAATTCGTAGGGGTGTTGAACGGTTATCAATTTGAAACAGAAGGAATTCTACCAACAAAAATTCTGCTGTTTGGTCATTGGAATGGATTTTGTCAAGTTATTGGTGCCGTAAACATTTCTCTCTGTAAAATATCGATATTAGTTCATACGTTTATGTGTGTGTACGTATGTACGTATACTCGCGTGCGTATAATTTTCTAAATACTCCGCTTTTTGACTTGCAATTGAATAGGTGTCTTCGTTTGTAAATATTAAGACATTAATATGTATCCTCTATATATATATAGATAGATACATATTATTGTATATATATATACAATAATATGTATCTATATCTATATATATATATATATATATATATATATATATATATATCAGTGTATATAAAAATTAGGAGATCATATCGATTCCGCTACCCTGGTTTCAACCTTTCCGATGAAGAGACGATTTCGGGCAATTGATTTCCTAACGCTATATTTTTTTCATTTTAATGAACGCAATAATAAATATTTAAATGTTTATTATAGTGTTCTTTAAAATTTAAAAAAAAAGCTTTATGAAATCAATTGACCGAAATCGCCTGAGGATACCGAAAGGTTGAAACCAGGGTAGCGGAATCTACTGATCTCCTAATATTTTTTTAAAAAAAAAAACTCTCATGTTAAAATTTTTATTTTTATACATGTATTGAGTACTTTTTAATACTACTGTTTCCTGATCTTATTCAACTTTGACCATTAACTTTTTTATTTTATATATATATATATATATATATATATATATAAAGAAAATTTCAAAACCAAACCTGCATGCAGACTCATAAACCCAGCCAAAAGTGATCTAGGTAAAATAAGTAAAACGATACTAGAAATACTAGATTCTGAACTTAGGAAGAAGTTAAGAGTAAACCAGTGGAAAAACACAAAATCAACTATTGACTGGTTACACAGCATAAATAACAAACAAAATTGCCAATTCCTACAATTAGACATAAAAGAATTTTATCCATCCATAACAGAACGCATGTTAGATAAGGCCATCAACTTAGCCCAGGAACATATAATAATAGAACCAAGCGAAATTGGCATCATTAAACACTCCCATAAATCATTACTTATTCACAATGAAGAAGCATGAATAAAGAAAGATGGGATCTTTGAGACTACAATGGGAAGCTTTGACGGTGCATAACATGCGAAATAATAGGTATTTACTTACTACACGAACTAAGCAAAATAATAGATATAAATGACACAGGTCTCTACAGGGACGACGGTCTCATAATCTTAAGAAACTGTAACAAACAAAACACAGACAAAACTAGAAAAGCAATAATAAAGATTTTCAAAAATAACAGATTCGACATAGATATAAAAACTAACCTAAACGAAGTAGATTTTCTAGATGCTACCTTCAACCTAAGAAAAGGCACATATAAACCATATAGAAAACCCAATGATAAACCACTCTATATACACACATCTTCCAACCACCCGTCTTGTATAATCAAACAGATACCAAAATCGATTAACCGCAGGCTTTCCGACAATTCCTCTAATGAATCCATATTTAACAAAGCTAAGAATGACTAAGAAACAGCCCTAAAAGATAGCGGATTCCCAGCAATACTCACATGCTCACCACAGAACACAAAAAAGGTCAACAGGAAAAGAAATATCATATGGTTCAACCCAGCGTACAGCAAAAACATAAAAACAAACGTAGGAAAAATAGTCTTCAAACTCTTACACAAACACTTCCCGGAATCAAGCACCCTACACACAATATCCAACAAAACACAGTAAAAATCAGCTACAGTTGCACCGAGAACATGGCACAAATAATAAAAAAGCACAACAGGAAAATTATCAACAGACCACACGAACAAATTATACCCACGTGCAACTGAAGAATAAAGAACGAATGTCCCTTCAATGGTAATTGTTTACAAAACAACGTAATATATCAAGCCACGATAAAATCACCAAAAATTGAAGAAAAAGTATACATAGGAGTAACTGAAGGACCCTGGAAACAAAGAAATTATGCACACAAAACATCTTTCACAAATAGTAAATATGCGAACAGCACAATGCTTTCTAAATATATCTGGGAAATTAAAAACAAAACGCATATCACAGCAAAAATATCTTAGAAAATAAGGAAAACATCATCAGCCTACAACAACCAATCAAAAACTTGGAGGAAAAAATAGCTATCATTACCTTCCCAGACCAAAATAAATTATCAAATAAAAGATTCGAGCTCATCTAAAAATGCAGACATGAAAACAAATTTTTACAACGTTACTTAAAAATCGAAAACTGAAAAAAATAAAATAAAATAAAAAATAAATAAATAAACAAAATGACAATAAAATAAGCAAAATTAATTAACCCAAACAAATTACCAAATCACACTTGTTAGAATAGACGAAATAGAATAAATAAAAAACAAGATCAATGAACCCAAATGCATAAAGTAAATAATAAACAAATTAACAAACCATTATGACCAAATATTAGTTATACTATAAAAATCAAACCAAAAATCGGACGAAAAAAATAGCTATAACTGTTATATAACGATAAAAGAAAAATAAATACTACGTTACTTAAAAATCGAAAAGTGTAAATAAAAATATACAGTATAATAAATAAATAATAAAAAACAAGTAAAATAAATTAATCTAAATTCATCCAAATAAATAAATAAAATAACAAACCGATCCCGATAAAGTAACCGTTAGAAAAAAAATAAAGATAATCAATCCAAATAAATACATGAAGTAATAAACAAATTAAAAACTGCTCCCACCAAAATAATAGTTAGAATAAACTACAACAATCAACCCCAAAATTGAATAAATAGCTTTAATTATCTTCCCAAATCAAAACAAAACTATTAAATAAGCGATATAAAAAAAATTTACTGCGTTAATAAAAACACGGAATAATAAAAAATAAATATATATATATATATAACATAAGAAATAAAAAATAAAACAAACAAAATAATTTAACCCAAATTAATAAAAAAACAAATAAATGACTTCCGGTAAAATAACCGCCAAAATAGACTACCCCCAATGCACCACTGAGCCGTATATATAAATAGCCGAGAAAAGTAACAGGACTCGTGGCCTGACGATTGAGTCAAGCATGAAACAGCCTGTTGTCTCGAAGTGTTGACCTCTATGTTCACTTTTATATTTACACGCGCTCTATCTCTGATATTGAGCATTTATCCCATAAATATAGCACATCTTAAAACTATATTTCCTCATATATATATATATATATATATATATATATATATATATATATATATACTAGCAGTAGAGCCCGGCGTTTCCCGGGGATATAACAGTAAGAGATAGATCAAGTATCCACTATCATAAAGACTGAAAAATAAAATTGACAAAGATTATTGTTTAAGGTTGACGGACACGCATGTCTTAATTAGTTTTTTTTTGTTTTTTTTATTTTTTACGAATTGGTCAAACCCAAACTCAAACAAAAACATTGTTTTCAATCGTTATGAGTCTACTGATTGAATAGAATTTTATTATAAATAAATGTTTTGTAAATGGAATTTTTAAAGCATTCTGAATGTTAAAAATAAAGAAAAAAGGGTGCAAGAGAATAAGAAACACTACCTGCCAAAAAAAAAGTTAAGTTTTGTTTTATCGGCTGAAAAATATAGGAAATTCGCTCCCATATTTAAAGTAACCCACACACACAAACAACCCGATGAGTTGTCCCCTTCCATTTTCACGATGTCTCTTAATCGTGTTTTCAAATTGATTTTGTGCAAAAACAATTATATTTTCCCATTTTTGGCGCTGTTAGAACCACCACAAGGTAATTTTATGTAGTCCTGTGAAGTTTTGTTGAAATCGGCTGAAAAATGTAGGAAATCCGATCCAATATATAAACGTTACAGACACACACACACAATCTGCGTTTTATAATAAGTAAGATATATATATTTGGTTGGATAGATGTGAGTTAGCTCTATCTCTGATATTGAGCGCTTTCTAATAAGTACCGCGCATATAATATATAAATAATTATACATATATATATTTATTTTTATTTATATACACTTTTCACACACACACACACACACACACACACACATATATATATATATATATATATATATATATATATATATATATATATATATATATATATTTGAATAAAAGACAGACCACGTTAAGATTCCATGTAATAAAGTTATTTCACCATAACCCCTTTAACAGGGTTCTGGATCATCAGACTTTTACTTCCAAAAGCTGAAATGAAAAATGAAAAGAAATTCACACGTTTTTTACGGACCTCATCAAGTATACGCAAAGTTAACGAAGTGAGGAAGTGAGGTGGGAGAGAGGATATGAGTGTGTCATATGTATCGTTTTAGTTTCCTATTTTAAACCCAATGTGTCGGCTGGATGTTGCTCAAATTTAACGCGTCTCGTTTCTAGATAAAGGTGGCTAAGGGGTGAACGATAAGAACTACATTAAAAGAAGAAGTTACAACAACCCCAATAAATTACACGACAGGTTTCATTCAAATTCTTAGACGCTGTCAGTTCGCGTTACTTTAACGAGCATATTTGGGAGGTTAAGGTTTGATAAATATCTAAATTTTAAAACAATCTACGAAGGAATTAATTTGAAATTCGGTGGAGTTTTGGGTATTTTCTATGAAACAGTCGATTGGAAAAATCCATAGACAGAACATTGAAAGTGCAATCCAATTTATATATATATATTTGATTTTTGTTCATTAAGTAACCTCGTGTTTGTTTTTATGTACCCAATTATCAACAGTTATTCACATTTA